CGCCACCAAGGAGCACTGCCGGGCAGTTCGCCACCAGGGAGCACTACCGGGCAGTTCGCCACCGGGCAGTTCGCCACCAGGCAGTTCGCCACCAGGGAGCATCACCAGGCAGTTCGTCACCAAGTAGTTCTCCCCCAGGGAGTTCGCCACCAAGTAGCTCATCACCGAGGCACGTCACCACCAAGTCAAACACGAGGTACTTAGCCAAAAAAATTTATACATCACAAAAAATGGTACGTGACCAAAAACGGTTACATCATCTTTCAATGATTTAAACAAAATCCAACAAGAGTTGAGCAATAGACTTTTCAACACTTGCATCCAATTACTCCAAGAATGAGTCAAACTGACGCAACAAGCATGATTTATGAAAAGCAACCCATCTATGACCGAAAACAACTGCTTTACAATTTATAATATATTGATGGTTGTTTTTGTCAATCAAAATGAAGCAGCTGTTGGTTTTGCTACATTTTGGCTAACTAATTCCTTTGTTGCAGGCAGCGGTGGGAGCTAGTATCCTGCCAGGCTGTACACATTGTATGGTGGACACACTCATCCATATGATGAGCTCATGTTTTTGGGATTGACAGATCGAGTTTTGGGTTTAATTTATATGGACTCCCTGAGTGTGGTGAGGACGATAAACACTATTAAGAATCAACTCAAATGGAATGAAAAGGCTCTGTACGAAGAAAGAAGTTTTTTATCTTTTGAAAGTTTTTATTGTATATTGTCATGTTCTATATTATAACCCAAGATTGAAATAAACTACACAGCTCATACTTATGACAAGTAGAGCGAGATTAACCAGCCCATATAGTTGCGATTCTTTTCTTTTCGGATGAGGAGGAGGAAAAGGAGAGGCAATTTGAAGGAGAATTCTCAGCAAACAGGATGGAAATCGTTGCCTGAAGGTTGGAAGACGGAAGAAAGCGGTTTGTCCGACTAGAAGCTAGCCCGGTTATGAGTTATGACTTGTGAGTTTGTCCAATTTCCAATCGCTTTGTGACTGGGTTTGTTTGTAAACTGTAAGGAACTGTTCCCCGTTTGGTTACGTCTGACATATTTTGCATAATTACAACTCTGTCTCTGTCTCTGGTGATAAACACCTCTTGCGCTATAACTGGGATAGAGGGGGGTTTGTTCCCAAGGCAAAGGCATCCATCCATTAATGGATCGAGTCTGAATACTCTGGACTGGGTAGATTGGTTGAATTTCAACGTAACCGCTCAATTCCCAAACCTATCGCCCGTATCCACGTATAAAAACATTTGTTCCACAGTTCCAGTAATCAAGTTTTCTTTTTCCTTCTCTCTTATCTCTGTAACTGTGCGTGTCTGTCTGTCGTCTGTGAACTGTGACCATCTCTCCCCTCCTTTTTCCCAACCCAAAGGCCAAAGCTGCTGGTTCCGCTGAACTGCTGATGGAAGGAAGTCAGGAATAGGATTTAAATAAAAAGGAAAAATAATTATTAAAAAATAAAGAAAGAAAGAAAAAGAGAAAGTTTCAGGAGAAAATTTTGCGAAAAACCCGAAGGCGTCGTATCTCTCTCTATCTCTCGTGTATATTCTCATGGACGCATGGGGACGATCATAGCTCGATAGCCATAGGTCGGCCCTGTGCCTTGGAATCTGAAGATTCCATATTTCTGAACCGTACTTTGCCAACAGAGTTGCAAAGATCGAGGGATAAAAAATTCATTAGATTTTATGAGTTCACATCAGCCCCTCACAAAGGGCCCACAACACATCTCAACCCTCTATTGAAAACATCTCCCCATGATAAAAATAAAAAATGATGAGATATCATCGAAAGATGTTCTCAATATACGGCTGGGATGTGTTATAGGACGTTGCGGGGCGCCCCTTTGTGGGGCTGTCTGACATACTATTTTCTTTATTTTTACACCCTTTTTACTTCGATCTTCTATTAAATAAAATGAAAAAGCTTTCTAATACACTTGGCATGCATGCAGAGAATGGGGCCCAACCGGTCCCAAATAATGAGACGGGATGATCCTGACCATCTCATTTATGTATACACGGACAAAGGTGTATTTGTCTGTTGCATTAGATGAGATGATTGAATTGAATCATAGAGAGAGAGATGAGAGAGGTTCATACTTCATAGTGTTCATTCTGCGCTGGAGTCTGGACCGGGATCCGGACTCTGGACTCTGGAGTATGGACTGGAACTGGAGAGCACTGCCGCTAGGCCCGCTACCATGGTCCTAAACCAAAGAGAGGTAAGTACGCTCCATAAAACGTGTCCATATTTCATAGACCTACTCACATCGTCTATAGAAGTCCGTTACAATAGAAAGAGAGAGGAGCGGTAGGGATCAGGGATCAATTTTGTATTGCGTGATACACAAAATCCTTTCTTCACATTACATCACACAATACGCTAGAGAATTTGTTTCTTTCTACGCTCCCAGTGCCAGTGTAACTTCATTATGGATTTTGCCATTTTGGAACGACTGATTAAGGAATTAAACGGTGGAAAAAGATTTAACACATGGGGACCCGGCCAGCACAGTCCGAATTCTTCTCCACTCGAACCGCCCGTTTTGCATAGACCTAATACTCAATTGCCCATGGTCAATATCCATGGCTTCCATCCAATTCTTGGTCCGAACCGAGTTAGGTTTGGTTAGGCCTAGCTCGCTTTTAGTGATCAAATAATAAAAAACCAAAACCAATGTACATGCATTTTAGTATCGAATTGATTGGTTTCCAGAACTTCCCCTTTAAACTTTCAAAGTTTCTTTCTTTTATTTTCTGTCAATCCAAACATAGCCAAATGTAAAAAAAAAAAAAAGCCCGACTAAACCCAAGTTGAAAAAAATCCAAATCACGTTGGGACTGTTCGGATCCGGATGACCCGGCTAACGTAACCTCCATGAAATGAGCTCTATGACTATTGTGTTAGTGTTAAATATAACAGTTAACAGATTTGAAGCACGCAGATGGTCCGTGGCCGGAGAGGGAGCGACCTAGTGAATCCTAGTCCTTGGGTGGGTGGCCATGGTGGCTAGTTGCTTGCCAGTTGCCACTGACCACTCGATCTACTGTTGTCACAGCCACCTCACATCATTATACCATTGTTATGGTATATAAGTTGGTATTTTCGTAATATTTTCAGAAACCAGGTGCATTAATACGTATTTGCTCAATAAAATAGGTCGGCCAAGGGCAAAACAAGAAGTTGAGGGGCGGAGGGTCCTACACTCCTACTCCCTTATTTATTTTTGTGTTGCTTGGTCTCGGTTGAATTTTCGTCACTCGGTCACTCCTTTTTGCTACCCTGTTGGGGAAAAAAAATAGAAAAAGGAAAAAGAAAACAAACATGAGATTGGGAGGAGGAACGCAGTCCTAGGCCCCGCTACAAGAAGGTTGAGAAAGCGAGACGAGAATCCAATTTTTACAACATACTCGCTTGCAGGCTTAAAATATTCAGGTTTTTATGGTGACGACGATGGGTTATCTGGGCTTTTTTTAGTTTTTCGGTTTCTGTTCTTAACTTACTTGAAGAAAGAGAACTCAGCTTTGAAGTTTGAGCTAAAATCCCAAACCCCGTGAGAGATAGATATTTGGGTTTCTGTGATTTCTTTTTTTATTTTGAGTAGAATATGAGTAACTGGTTGGGTTTTTCTCTGACGCCACACCTGAGCATCGATGAAGGCTTTGGAGAAGGAGAGGGAGGATTCTCCTCTCATCTGTCGGTCATGCCTTTGCGTTCTGATGGCTCTCTTTGTGTTATGGATCCCTTCAGGCGGTCTCATGGAGGAGGTACTCATGATGAACTAGAAGTCTTCCTTCTCTAATCTCTCTCTCTCTTTTCCTTCTAGCTTTCTTTTCGGGCTTTTTTGGTTTTCCGTCGGTCCTCACCATTTCTCTTCACTGGGATGTTTTCAGTGGTGGGAACTCACCATTTCTCTTTACTGGGATGTTTTCAGTGGTGGGAAATCTATAGTTTCAGAATAAGTATTTTATTTATTCATGCAATTATTATTTTCCTTTCTTCTTATCCTTATTTTTTATTACTTTATCTCTGGTATGAAACTGTAAGTCTGTAACCCACCCCCCCTCTCTCTCTAGTCGATTCTCCACTGTTCGATGACACGGAGAATTTAAATACATTGCTGTATGTCTCTGGGACAGTTTTACAGTCCAAGATGTCCGGAAGAAGTTTTCACATTTATAGATGTGTTATAGATGTTTTATTTCTTGTGTTTCTTAACGAGCTATACAAACAAGCTCTTTTATCCCATGTGTTATAGATGTTTGAATCTACTGTTCTTTTTCTGCTTTCATGCACCATTTTCTATGAGATGTTTCCATCTAACCTCTTCTACCATGGGTTGATTCTAGACTGGAGGTACGAGAGCACCATGGCTACGGCAACTAATCCAGAGAGAGAAGGACCCAAGCTCGAAGATTTCTTGGGTGGTTACTCCAATTCTTCTCAGGATAACAACAATGTATACTACCAAAGCCAGCAACAATCTTTCCACCAAAGAGGTCAAAATCCCGATAGTGGATGTGGAATCAACGTGAACGTACCTCCAACATTCAACAATAACGGAGAGAGAGAAAGAGAAGAAAATCCTACGGACCAGTCTTCGTTAATCCAATCTTTCCATTATAACGAGAACCCACATGCCATTCTCCCAACTGTACATCTTCAAGCCACTAACCCCAACCCTAACCCCGGTAACAGTCTGTACCACGTTCCTCTTGATAGTGCAACATCAATTTCTGGGTTCAAGTCGTGGTTGCGCCAGACACCGTTTTCAGGTGAGAAATCTTCTGCGGAAGCGAACTGTAACTTCCAGTCGCTCTCGCTCTCTATGAACCCGGGCTCTCAGACTGGAGTCCCTGGACTTGCGTCGTCACCGGGGTCTGACAACCGAAAACGGCAGGTTGGGAAAGCTGTTAACCGAGAGCCAGTGCCGCGTAAGTCAATCGATACATTTGGACAACGAACATCTCAATACCGTGGTGTTACGAGGTGGGTTTTATCCTTGCAGTTTCGGTCTCGATGAGTTTTGTTGTGATCAAATTGTTCTTCTTTATATGAATCCTTCAGGAAGTGCCAAGATTTCTAAACTCTAAATTATTATACATACTTTCTCGTTTCTATGAAATAATAGGCATCGATGGACTGGAAGATATGAAGCCCATTTGTGGGATAACAGTTGCAGAAAGGAAGGACAAACAAGGAAAGGAAGACAAGGTGGGAGAAACTTAGAATCTATCTGTGTTTTCTTCTTTTATGCTATCTTTTGATAAATAGGCAGCTTTGTTTTCCTGAAAGAATACACTTGACTATACACTAACAGCTCTTTTTCGATTTCTGGGACGGTCTTTTTCTCTTGTCTCCGCATATGCGCTCGACCAGTTTATCTCGGTAAGAAGAGCTTCCATTTCCTTGTTTATTCTTTCCTTCATTTTATTTCTTGCATTTTTTATTTTACATATGTAATTCTTTTTTGTGTGCATCTTTCTACACCAATACAAGGAATACCTTGGGCGGTGTGCATTGGATATTTAATGATTTTTGTTTTTTTTTTCTTTTTTAATTTTATTTTCATATTAGGTGGGTATGACAAGGAAGAGAAGGCAGCTAGAGCTTATGATTTAGCTGCTTTGAAGTACTGGGGTCCTACAACTCATATTAATTTTCCGGTAAGGCCTTCTGTTGCATTTTAATTTTTCTTCCTCATATTCTTTCTTCATTCTGAAAAATGAAGTCACAACTCCGAGTTCATGACTGGTTTATACCACTTTGTTAATTCCTCATTTTAATACTCAGCTGAGTACCTACGAGAAGGAACTTGAAGAGATGAAAAACATGACCAGGCAGGAATTTGTCGCCCACTTAAGGAGGTCTCTCTCTCTCTCTCTCAACAGGGAATTCAAATTCTCGAGATTTCATCCCTACATTTCTTTGTATAGAAAAAAAAAAATCGGGACAATGCCTAAATAATTTATTTGAATTATTTGTTCTTGTATTCTCAGGAAAAGCAGTGGTTTCTCAAGAGGGGCCTCTGTATACAGAGGAGTAACGAGGTTGTGGCAGAGAAACTTTATTGCTAAAGTCTATTATTTATTTCTTCGCAGCTTTTCTTTATCGTCTACAATAATATACAGACAATGTGTACACATACATTATATATGCCCATAACTTGTTGGTGTACCCCAACATCAATAATGTGTATTTATTTACTTATTTATAAACACGAGTTTAAACCACCCATAGAGGGTGTTTATTTTCTTCTTTTCTCTCAAGCTGGTTTCTATACTCCTGACAGGCATCATCAACATGGAAGGTGGCAAGCTCGGATAGGAAGGGTTGCAGGGAATAAGGACTTGTACCTTGGAACATTCAGTGAGTCTCAGCTATCTCCTTTTTTATTTCTCTGATGTTATTTCCTTGATATTTAACTCATGGGGAATTAATTGACAACGTTATTGCATAATTAAAAAGTACATGTATTTCGAGTAAAGACATATATTAGATTTGGAATGTTGTATTATAACATGGAAAAATATGGTTGCTTTTGTTTGTAAATATTATGTATAATTTTAATAGGTTAGATTAAACTTACATGGAAGAAAACTTGTCATTCTTATTATAGCAAGATAGTGAGTGTATGTATAGCTTTTTTATGTTTCACCTTGAATTTTATTTTTCATTCTTGATACCATCTTTTTCCCTCTTCATTCTTATGACCTCTCAAAGGAGGCCTTTGCCATTTATTTATTTATTTGTAGGCAGAGGAATCTTGTCATCTGAAAATGAATTGTATATTGATCTGTCTCGTGTTTTTACTGAAACGAGCGACGAGCTGCTCATCATCTTTAGTGTTGCCTGTCTGGACATTCTACTGCACTGAATTGTTGGGGGAAATGTTTAAATTGATGGATTGCTAGTCAGTTTGACCTCTCTGATTTCCTTTTTATTTGAAGCGCACTAAACATATTTGCATTTCTGACTACAGTATCAGAGGCACTAACATGAATCGGAGTTTCTTGCGGTTAGGTTGATGTTTACTTGTCACCATCAATAATCCTATTATGATTTTTACAGGCACTCAAGAAGAAGCAGCTGAGGCGTATGATATCGCAGCAATCAAGTTCCGAGGGACAAGTGCAGTAACCAACTTCGACATTAGCAAGTATGATGTGAAGCGCATCTGTTCCAGCACCACTCTCATCACCAGTGATCTCGCAAAGCGCTCCCCAAACCCAAAAGATTCAGCTCCTATTATCCCTGATGATCAGAATTCGTCTGTATCCTCGGCTCCTCCTCAACCCCCTCTTGCAATAACAAATGGTGGGCCCTCTGATGAATTGGCTGATATGGTGTGGACCAACGGTGATGAACAGCAACATCAACAGAATCTAAACGCCAACGAGAGTGCCTCGTTGATACCATCTATGAGCAATCCGAATTCTTCTAACCCACAAAGCCCAAAACATACACTTGCATCACATAGCGACTTCGCAGTGGCCGGCGGAGATTTCTCACAGACACTCTTCTCGCTGCACACACCCAAGTACGAGAATGGCGCCACCAATAGCGGCGAGCACAGTACGAGCAATGGTGGAAGCGACAACGTCAACTGGATGGTGGCGGGGCGGTCTGGGAGTCTGCCTGTGGTTCACCAGCTTCCAATGTTCGCATTGTGGAACGAGTAAAATGATTGAAGCACAACCAGATCATCAGCTAAAAGGTTTCATCTTATATAGGGATATGATTCATACAACGAAAGGAAGAAAAAGAAGAGCTCTGAAGATTTTAGGAAGACATGGTTGGGTACTAACACAAAAATTTTCAATGTTCCCCTGTGTACATGAACTCTAGTTGAACGCTTTTTTGCAATTACTAGCCATTGACAGCAGGAAATCAAAAATGAAAAAGCAAATTAAAGAAAGGATGCAATAATGTTTATCATGTGTTTTTAAATTTTATTGTGGGCAACGATTTGGTAGGCCGCCTGTCAAGTGTCAAATTCCATCGAGGTCTATTGCCTCCGTTTTGACACATCAATTTGACAGGTGGACAATCTCTCCCCAACCCCAGCATCATCTTTCAAAAATTGCCACGCTGTACAGAAGAGTAATCTCCACTATTTGAACTGTGAAGGCCAGAAGGCCAGGGTACTATTCCATCTAATCAACGGTTGAGTTGGACCTTGTCCTTCTTTCAAAAGGCTGAATTTGGTCTAGTTGTCCCGAGTGGTCTATTAGGTGACTTGAGCCTTCACCGGCAAGTGGGCGGGGGCAAAGCCGAGCGACCCTGTGGTACAAAATTGGGGTCCACGGGTGGACTCACATAAGTTATCAGCCTGCAGATCGTCTGAATCTCGTCATTCAGATGAACTGATTTCGAGCCGTTTGATTTGATAAAGGCTCAAGAGGAACATATCTCTACTTGATAAAAAATAATAATAAAAGAAAAAAAAAAAAAAAAAAGAATGGAAAGCGGGACAAAGACAAGGTGCAATGCATGCGACAGTAAGCGTGTCGTGAAAAGTAAGAACGCAGGATGAGGAGCGAGTTTTGCTCAAGTGCCATGCACGAGTCTTGTCTCTTGGTTCGCTTATCCTGTGCCCGATGCCCCCCCGCTGCCATCCTCGCGGCGCCAACGAAAAAGTCAAATATCTAAGGTACCTTTGACTCCGCTTTTTTTTCATTCATTCTCAAATCTCCAAACACAGAGAGAGAAAGATCCCCTTTTATCCTTTTATTTTTGTGGTTTTTTTAAACTTTCTGTTGTTTGTCGTTTAGCGGAAGAGATAGGCGCCTTAAATTGCGTGCCCTCTTTGAGCTCCTTTCCTTTGCTGCGTGTTTATATTTTCTGAAATAAAAAAGAGAAATAATAAATACTGATACATTTAATTATAGATTTTTTAAGCAACTTTTTATTTTGTTTGAATGACGTATGCAAAAGTGAATCTTTTTTCTTATTATTACTAATAATTCATTTTGGGATGAAGATTGGCCATGGCTCATGGGTGGGACAATCACAGATTTTAAAGGAGAGAGAGAGATAGATAGATTCGGAGGTGATGGAGCTGCTGATGGTGACGGTAATGGTGGAAGGGATTGCTCGATAAACCACCTACTAAACCTGGTCTGGTGGGAGCAGAGTCTAAACGCAGTCTACAGTTGAAAGAAAAAAAGAAAAAAGAAATCTACAGGACAAGATACTTGGTGCAGCGACATTTCCCTATCAAACCCTCTAGTGTCCTTTGCACATGTAGCTGTAGCCTGTCTGCCGGCCTGCCAGACGCTCTGCCATGCAACCTTACCCCGCATCTCCCCCTTGGCCCCTTGGCCCCTTGGCCCTTCCCCTACAGCACAGCCTACACTGCTCAACTCGCCCGTCGCCCCCACCCTGCCTTGGTAGGGTTTTTATTAGGCTTTCAGTTGTAGGTATGCATGCATGCACCACTGCTGCACTATACTGTACATGCATTGGGTCGTTGGGCCCGATGGAGCCATTGGCTGATGGTAGTTCTTAGCTGGACCCTTGCATGACTGCCACGTACCTTGTGGATTATCCCTGCTCCGAACAGATCTTCCATTTCTTACTTATAACTTTCAGGCCAGCTAAGCTTTTTATATTATATAATATATATGGTGTTGGTGTGTACCATTTCAATACACCGTGGATGTGGGCCCAGTAAGAATCTAGACAACCCTCATCCGTCCCCCGAGTCCCCGACCCACTTTTCTTTTTTCTTTTGCCCCTTGTACGATAGCGATAACTCTTTATTAAGCGTAGAATAGTTGACCGCACCTTATCTACTAACAACTACAACTAGTTTAAAAATTTTGGGTATTAGGGAGACAAGCGTCTTCAATTGGAGGCATCGTGGAAGACAATAACACCCCTCCTCACTTGGTCACTTACTGTTCCTATATCTTTTAGATATTGAAGCATATATGTATCACTGTAACAGGCGTTTCAAACAGTGTACGTCTTTTGATCTTGTGGTCTAGAGTTTGTGTTCAACTGCACCTAAAAAAGATCCTTCAGATAGATCGATCGTATCTGTGGGGCCAGCGTCCAGACTCCAGACTCCATCCCAACACAAAAGGTGTACTATACATGTCCTCTCCTCTGTCTTCATGCATGAAGCAGGCACCAATTTCAAGGCACACAAGTTACTATCTTGCACATATATAAATATGATATATACATTCTTCGTAAACATCTTTTGCTTTGTTATTTTATATAAATATTTGTTTTCTATTTGATTTTTTATTTATGTCATAAACCCATGAAAGGGAGAGGAGTGAGGGCCCAAAGCCATGACCCATCATTTCATTTATTCCATCTCCCTGTCTCTCCAATTCCAACAACATACCACGCATCCCCTCTCTTTCCACAGTCTACCCTTTTGTTGCACCTAAATGCAACCTTCCCAGTGTCACTCATTTCCCTTCCGTTGTTGCCTTAGAGGGAAAGACAACCACATATCCACCCAGCTTTGACCTCTCTCTCCTCCTTGGAAGCACTAATTTCTTTATTTCTCTCTTTCTTTTCCCACTCAACATCATTTTCATGGTTTTTGTGATTTYTCTCTTTTGTGGAGGGAGGGAGGAAGGGAGGGCGCTTTGAGTGACATTGATGGGACAAATGACACCCTCTCTCCCCCATCAAAGCATTAGGACATTTTGTGTATGTTTATGTGTTTTGAATTTATTAGGAAAACTGGATAYTTAGAGGCCCCGTTAAAGTACTAGCAACTAAGCAAGGCCAAGATGGGGAGCCCAGATCCGGCCAAACATACTGCTTGCGTTCACTGAACATCGTGCTGACCAGTGACCACCCACCCATTAATTACCAAACTGGTCCAAAATATGAATGGGTTTTGTGTAACCCGGCGGGTATTACTTTTCCGGGTCATCACAGTAAGGACTCTTCCACCGTCAGACCGTCACTACCCATTCCACTTGCAAGTCATGTTCATTTTCATTGACGTTACTCATGGATGCTGCCTGTGACTGTGAGCCCGTTGCTTAGAAATATAGTACTTTAAATTGGGCTTCTTTCATTTTCAGTTTTTCATGGAGGAACGGCCTCCTCACTCCTCAGTCCAGTTTGAATTGGGATGGCGTCAGTCCACGACCATGGAAGTTGGAATATATACACAGTGTTTCATGGATGCATGTAATAAACACTTTGGTGCAGCATTATTTGTTCCAACTTTGAACTTCAAGTTTCAAAAGTCTGAAATGAATATCCAATGGACCCCACCGTGAGAACCTCAAGTAGAAAAAGGAAATGGCACAATATTTAATATTTATTTCCCCTTAGAAGGCTAAAGCTGGGGCTGGGATATTTGCTGACAGAGGACTGTTGTGGGTCTGGGCCCCCACTGTTAAATTTGCCACCTTTTCTGTGCTTGGGGCATCCGGACCCATCATCGGATGGTCTTGGACTCTTGGTGTAGCTCCCTGTTGGGCCAAACCAAACAAATCAAAATGCCGGTCCGGCCGTCCAAATTTGTTTTATTTTTCTCAAGGATTGGAAGACCCAAATTGGAATCTGCATAGACACGTGATGGAGGTGGACAAGGGTTAAAACAGTTGGATGGGAACCTTTCACACTAGACAGTGATGGAATTTCACTCAGGATTTAATTGAAAAGCTACAGCCTACAGCCTACCCTACGTACGATGAATCAACATTGTGTTGGAAGTTGGACTAATGCACCACCGCATCACTTGGTAAATATATGTATAACACGTGTATTTTTTAGGCTAATGTTTGGTTTGAAGGAAAAGGTAGAGAAAGGAAGGGAAAGATAAGAAAACCTATACAAGATTTGTAAAGATTTTTTTATCTTTTTCTACTTTTTCCTTCACCAAATACAGCCTTAATAAATCTTTATTTAACTTTCTACTTTTGAACTGTAAATAAAATGTATATACAACAAACTTTTCCAATAAAAAAACTACGATCTATGCGAATAATACAGTTTTGTTTTTTTTTTTTAATTAAACGGGACAAAAAAATATGGGATGCTTTATTTTTAACACATTCTTTTATAACATATTATTAAGTTCAATATGCATGTCATTATTATGTTCAACCTTCACATATGCACACGTCCGTATGTATGTATCAAACCAACCAGTAAGGGAGTAAATTGGGCCGGGTTAGGTTGGGTCGAGGCCAACCCTAATCCAACTCGAATAGTTGAACCCTCAATCTAATTAGGGTTGGGTTTAGGTTGGGTTCGGGTTGGTCTGCTTTTTCTTTTCTTTTTTTTTTTTGTCAAATGTACTTATTTCATTCCTAGGTTTTAAGAGTTCATGTTTATTCAATATGAACATTATTATGTACAAAAAAATAACATAGTTATCATGTTTGTAAAAAAAAGTGTCATTAAATTTATAAAACTTTTTACATGCAATATACATGCATACTTACATGTATAGTAGATAAATACATATATTATATATTATATATATTAATACATTAATATTTGTAACGAAAAAATACATACATACATGCATACATACATATAATAGTAAATATACATCTAGATAAATACTTTACATGCATAAATATAATATTTGTACATGCACATATGAAGTTAGATTTATACTTTTCAATCTTAACCCTGACCCAAACTTCAACCCAACCCGACTCAACCCTAATTTTTTAACCAGGCCCAAATTTCAGCCCTAGCAGACAAATTAAACAGAAAACACATCGTTAGTGACAAGTGAAAAGTGGAATTGCAAGTAGTGTTACAACTTACAACACAAGTGGGTCTTATTTACAAGGCCTAAAGCCCATAGCATTGGGCATCCTTAATTACTTCCCACATGGCCCAAAATTTATGGTGATCTTCCTTATGAAAGTTCATTATACTATCATAGCACGCCTGCTAATGACGAATCCAGAGAATGAATATTACGAAGAAGATGTTTAACAAAGAGATGGGAACTTTTCTATTAGTCAAAGTATGTTTTATATGTTTGGTAGTTTTGTAAATTTTGATTTCTTGTTTTGCAATGTGATGTAACCTTCTTTCGTAAAAGGCATTATATCACTCTGTTTTCTTTTTTGGTAAAAAGGGAAATATTGAAGTATTTTTTGCTCTACAATCTTTGGTGTGAACTGTGAGAGATTCTTCCCTTTTCCCCTTTGGATGGTGAGGCTCAATTGTCGCCATCCTTAGTAGTGGTGAGACGTGAGACTCTAATACCAAGGTGATGGGGTTGGGTAATAAGAGTCTCCCCACCCACCACTCTTATCGTTTCCTTTATTCTTTTCTTATTTTATTAATGGTAAAACCACCATTGAAGCATCTCCTTCAACTTCTACCACATTTAATACCAAGAGTAATGTGACTTGGAATTGCACTTGCATGCATGGTCAGTCATCTTGCCTTGGGTTGTGCATCAAAATCATTACAGCCATTGGAACTAGCATATTCCAATAAAATTAGACCCGTTGTGTGGTTTCTAGCAAATTAAGAATGAACTCACCGAGAAAATTACCTCTAAACCAAATGAAATTTTCTCTTGCGCCAACGAGAGGCAGAAAGAGGAGTTAAAATGGGAAAATCTCACACAAATTGGGTGGTTTAAGTCGATTACTGATCGATCCAATTTTGCTATGGTTCAGTTTGAGATAGGGGTGCCAATTTTTAATTCAATCCGCTGAACCCGCCCATTTACTTGGTGGGTTGTGTGATCAATCCATCATCTAATTCACCCATTTAAATAGGTTGGGTTGTGGATAACCATTGGGTTAGCCATTATAAATATAAGTATTAATTCCTTAGTCTTTTTTTAATTTTCTTCATTTGAATTAAATAATTTATAATTAATACATTAATTTTCTATTAATAATTGACTAAATTTAGTTTTGTCTTGAATCAATACACTTCACCTAACATAAATCCAAATCAATTTGACCCGAGTTTGGACCAATTCAACGCGATCTAATCCGATCCAGCATATACTGATATGGGTTGACCCGAATCCGAAATAGACATCGGGCGGGATGGTTCGGTGCCACTTACTTTGTTCGATTTGGGTAGTCCGGTCCAACCAATATTCACACACTCCAACCCGACCCGGTACAAGTCAATCTGGGTCTACCTGAATCCAAAACGGTTTTGGGCTGGATGATTCGGTCTCCGCATGCTTTGCTTGATCTGGACCGTCCATCCAACTAATATCCACACGACCTGACTCGAATCCGGACCCACCCGATTTAGCTACATTGACCCGGTTTGGGTCAACCAGTCCGGTCCCGAACCCATGCACAAACTTGATATGGTCTGGTCCAAGTCAATCCACCATTGACTGAATCGGTCCAGTTCGGTCCGATCCGATTGGATCGATCCAGATCTAAACGGTTCAACCACCCTTGAACCTAAGTGATTTAAGTTGGTCAGACCGGTTTGAACCTAAGTGGTTCGATCAAACCCAGAACCCGAACATAGTCAAATGGCTTCGCTGCTTGTGTAAAAAAATGCATGCAATGTGATTTGAACCTTCACCACTTGTGTGAATAAGAACTAAAATAACCACCACGCTACAACCAACTTATTTGTTAAAAGAGAGTTTGTTTTTTAGGTCCATAAACGGCTTCTGGCGGCTGCTTCTTCAAGATTTGTCATCGTTCTTCCACCGCCACCACCACCACCACGAGCACTGTCAAGGTACTGGGTTGAGAAAAAATTGGTCTTTCTTCCACCGTCGTTCCTCCACCGATAACTTTCATTTCTTCTTCCTTTAGCAAATTGGTCTCAGCAACCAAACACAGGTGATAGGGTTGAGAAAAAAAATTCCCTTCTCATCCCGTCCCATCTCATCTCATCCTTTATCAGCAACCAAACAGACCATTAATAAGCACTTCATTGAAGTAAAATGAATGAAAGAGAAGCATACTAATGGTTTATATTTAATTGCATCATACAAAAAGCCACAAGAGGCAATTAACTAATGAAAGAGACGATTATTCTCCATCCAATTAATTTAAGCAATATTAAATATAATTTATATTTTGAGGGTAAAGTTGTTTTTGAAAATCAATTCTACATATTAAATATGGTATTTAATGCGTGTTACTTCCCCAAAAGGCAAAAACACTCAGGGAGTATAAATAATTCAGTTAGCTTAGAAAGAGGTCACTTATCCGAGTATGTATATTTGCCCATGTTCTTTTTTGTTAAATTTACTTGGGTAAATGAGACCTTTCAACTTCCCCATGTTCTTTTGTTTCACCTACTTTCCTAGATAAGTGGTTAATTTTCTATGTTTAGTCATTTTTACCCTTGGGTCCAGGTCCATGCTTTTTGAATTATATTTTTTAATGGACATTTTTTACATATTATATTTTGAGCATTTACTCTCCACTTGGAAAAGTTAAGGGTAAGTGATACCCAAGGGAAAGGCATTTACTATGGGTTCCACCTAAATCTTAAAAAAGAACATTAGAGAGTTGGTCAATAGGAATCAAAATCCCATTGGTGGACTTCCCCCTACCAAAATCTGCGAAACGAATGAGGCCTTAGTGTTTTCATATCTTTCTTATTTTTTAACCCCCATCCTCTATCTACATCTTTTATGGAGCATAATTATGTTCAGTTTATAAATTTTTAATAAATAAAAATACACTATGAGAAGGCACATGGAGGACTTACCTAGTTACTAAATAAATAGTATTTACATAGATCACATGGGAACAGTCCTCCCAAACGTATAATAAAAAGTTATAACTATGATCATCATAAAAATATTTTAATTTTTCTTTATTAGCAAGCCGATCTTGAGGTATTTGCTCTGCAATACATACATACATAACATATACAAACTTCTATAGTTATTTCCTATAAGTTAAAACAGTAGTCAAATTCAATATTTGATGGGTCCAATATTTATTATATGATGGGCCCAAGACTCCAATACAATAATTATTTATTTATTATATGTATTTTCCAACTCTAGAGAAGGGGAATTGAATGGCTTTTTCGCTTTGAAAAAATAGTAAAGTGATAATTCATGGTTAAAGTTGGAAAATACATGGAAAGAAAGAAAGGAGCTAGAATTGGCCTAGGAAAAGGTACAATTTAAGCAATCATCAAGTCATCGACTCTATAGGGACAAACTATGTGAAAGATAAAGGGAATCTATGTCCTATCAATAATGAGCTCGTGGTCATTCTAGGAATAGGAACCTCCTGAAATCATATTTTTCTTTTATCTTTTTATCATATAAGGTCCGTTCGTTTTTTCGAATCACGTTATTACCCAGGTAATATTTCCCATAAACCACTTACCAGGTAAGTGGATTTACTCATATTCTTTTTCTGTTTAATTTACCCAGGTAAATGAGATTCTTTACTTTCCCATGTTTTTCTGCAACATCCACTCTCCTGGGTAAGTTGGTAATTTTTGTTCACCTCTTGCCAATTAACAATGGCCGCTCAATTACAAACAGAGAAGTCACATATTAAGCTCCTTATGTAAACAACCGCTAAAAAGACTGCTAGAGAAAGGATGTTCACGGTCACTGACCCATAAATCTGCAACAAATAACAAACAGATATTAGTCTCACAGTAGCAACTCTTCCAGATTTGCAGATCCATAAGTATTGTTTCATACACAATTTGGTTTCAGTAATGCCCTTAAAAGCTTTGATATTCTATAACAAATAGTTCTAATTTCACATAATCCTTTAACACGTTGATATGATTTGTTGAATTATTCTCCTTCCTTACCAATCATTACTTACCTTCATTCAGAAAACCAAATCTCAAAACATCCCAACATAATAAATCAGGAAAATAAAAACACAACAAGAACAGATAAAGAAAGATTATGCTATCCAATTACATATCTAGGATATCTGTATCCAACTTGAACTCGGTTAAACAAATTCCAAACTGGATTAAGACATCATGAATTCTTAGCAAATGAATTAAAAAGAATTTCATAAATCTATGCCTTGCTACTTTACAAAAAGACAGTTCTTGAATCAATTCTACTAAAAAAATATGTAAAATACATTCAGATATCTTTATGGTAAGATTGTTAGATCCGGTTTCTATCAAATAAATTTGAGTGCATCTAAACTCAAATCAATAGATCAAACAGATGTATTATTGATATCCATATTTGACTAAGCAGATCTAGGCCATGATCTGATTCACAAAATGACTAACGTAAAGCATATGTTTTGATTACACAACCTGCTTTCTAAATAAATCTTAATCAAGTTAGCAACTAACAAACCAACAGTATATTTGGAAAGGTCATATTTTATACAAAAGCCTGAGTTCTAAACACGTCTTTGACAAGTAACTGTTACTAATCATATTACTCGCATAACCACCCAAAGAAAAGGAAATAAGAATCCAAAAAGAAAAAGAAGAATTGAAGAAAAAACATAATATTTGGCCATAACATTGGCCTTACAAAAATTAGAAGCTAAAAAATACAAGTTCTGATTTTGTAAATTAAGAATATGGAATAGCACACCTTTAGTAGTGCCCTATCATCATCATTTACATATCCAAATTTTCCCATCTCCAGGTGCATCAATATTGTTCAATATTTGAGAACCTCTGCCACAACCAAACATGAAAGAAGACTTACAAGGTTTTAATCATCTTTTAAATGGCTAACTAACTTAATACTCTACTAAGATGGGACTATTAGCAAGGTTTTAACCATATACCTGCAACCTGACATTCTGCAAGTAACTGCTAGCAAAGACTTACAAGACAAATCTTAATCATTTGGCACTGAAAGTCTAACAAGGTCCTTTTATGTTTTAATTCTTTTTTGAGATTATATATGGATACAGAATACAAAATGAGAGCATAGGTATTGATCAAGTTTTAAGTGAATTTGATCTGGCCACATTTTAAGAGCATAGGTATTTTTTGAGATTATGTTTTAAATCTTAACCATAGATAAGTGAATTTGATCTGGCCAAATTTTAAGTACCTAATGAACTCAAAATAAGAAACCAGAAGAACATTTAACTCTATACAGAAGTGAAACTAAGAGTGCCTATGTTCAACGTTTCAAAATAAGCAGGTGCAATGGCGAAAATAATAGCAGATGAGCCATTTAACTCTTTGTTGTATAAAGGTACATATCTGGCGGATCGATATCTCAGGTTGCATTGCAGCAAGCTTGCTAGATGGTCTAGAACTAGAAGGCCCACTACCTACCAGATGTTGTGTGCTGTTACTAGAACCAAAGACCAAACCAAATTGATGTTTTCAAACCATCACTGATTGCTTTTTCTTGGTTTCTCAGATTTTAGCCAATAGGTCAGCTGAAGATAAAGTCTTACCTGCAGATGATCCAGCTACAAAATCTCTCAATATGACAACAACAACAACAAATAGTTATTGGGCAAGGTCTTTATATTTTCCACAAACAACACTCTCTCAAGATAAGAAAGCCTACAACTGAAATTAATGGTTGATCCTTGTATATGCCCTCATACATGCAGTGAAATTATGGATAGAACTGAAACTTAATGCAACAAAAATTTGAAGTTTGGAACATGAACCGGGACCCCAATTTAATATCTGTTCGAGACATTGAGGCAACCCATTTTAGGTTAAGGCCTGAAAAGTTTTACTTTCCCTTGATGTTTCATGTAACTTTTCTTTGGGATTGACAGTTGGAATTTTATTAAAAATCAAACAAAGAGGACCATGAGGGCTAACAAGGAAAAAATATCATGGTGGGGGAACCACGATATTTTTGACGATCTATTCCATTATAGATAACAGTGATAATCCACGAAACGAAAAGACAATTTCTAATTCTATTGCAAGATGACGAGAATGGCAATTGACAAACACTGATTCTGTGAAATAATCATTTGCAATACAAAACAAATCACAGAATTCATTTTACAAGTGGTGAGAACGTAATAAAAAGGGATTAACAACAATTATAAATGTAGAAGAAGAAACCTATGAAAAAGAAAAATGGTGCGATTTACCCTCTGTAACTCCTTATCGTTTCAATGGATGAAAAAAATATTAACAATGACGGTCACTTTGCGGAGCAGCGGCAACAAGTGAGAGTATCATCGCCGGCGACAAAAGAACGGTGAACATGAGGGAGAAACTCTTCAACAGTAGGCAATAGTGATTTTTGGGAGAAGGAACGATCGAAGCGGAAAGGCTTTCGAATTTTATATGTTTGTGGGGGGCAATTTTGACATTTTAACCTTTTTCCATTTACCTTCCATTCGGGAAACCAAACTTACCCGACTATGAAAATGATACCATTTACCCGGTAAGTGATACCCGGGAAGATGATATTTACCGTGGATCCCACTTATTTTTGAAATCCGAACGTGGGTAAATTGGTCAATGGYATTGTGAATTGCATTGACCAACTTTCCCCTTATTCACTTAACGAAAAACTAACATGCTCATAATATTTTATTTTTGCGCATGTTTGGTTCGGTGGATATTTTCTCAATAAACGCACCACATCAGCGCCATATGTGCATTTACGTTTAGTGGGGATGAAACCGCTGTTTGGTTATAACGTTGCATTGTCAAGCAGTTTCTCCGGAGCTTGTCACTATCGTTCACATGGTCTTCAGATTTTTCACATTGTTTGCGAAATAAATTGAGTTGGAGTATATCTTTAGATTTGATCTCTTTATAAAAACATTATAAATATTTTCATGCAAGAGTATTTTATCTATAAAAATATCATTATTGAAGGGATAATATTATCCCATCATATCACACGCCTAAGAAAATGATTTATCTAAGTATTCGGGCATTATTTACCTAAATAAATGAGCCATTAAGGAACCGAAAGAAAACACTATAAATATTCACATGCATGAATATTTTATCTATAAAGATATCATTATTGAAGGGATAATATGTGTCCCATTCATATGTTATCCAAGTCTTAGGGCATTACTTACCCAAGTAAATGAACCATGTAGGAATCATTGTTTATTGTTAGACCCACAAATACTAAAACACAAACACAGGTTTCTTTTATTTTCATGGGATCCACCAACTTATCCGCTCTATTTACCAGAAAACAAGCATGCCCAAAGTAGAAAAAGGGTTTACGATTTTAGTGTGGGTTCTGTTTTGAAAATTTGACTAGCTTCAAGATTCAAAAGAATGAATCTCAATATGATGAGTTGTTAAATTTAAAATCAGAATAAAGCGGGCAGCCCATCTCTTACCAAGCATGTTTTTCGCCAATCCTCTACTAGGAGTGCAAGTTTAAGAACTTGTATAAAGATTTTATACTGCAGCGTGCTCATACTTTGGGCCAGCAGGCCATTCAAAAGATGACAAAATCTCTACATGAGCCCACTCAAAGGATATTACAACACGTTCTTTCTACATCCCCACCCACAGTATATTACACCACGTTGACAATATCTCTCTGTTGTCATCGATGGGGACACGGTGATAGCGTCTTGTGGGTAGGAGATTAAACAGGAGTGCCCAAATTGAACCCCTATCTTTAGTCTATGCTTCAGACTTCTCTCTTTTTGAAGGAGATTGTAGCCATAGAAGCAGCTGGTGTTCTCCTTTATTTTGATGAATGAATTTGTCTCTGACTTTTTTTTTTTTCAGAAATCAGAATAAAGAAGAATCATAATATCAACCTCAATAGAGCTTTCGAAGATAAAATAGGAAGTAATATTGGTATTGATGATCGAAATTTAAGGGGAATTTGAAAACAAAAACAACTCTCTCGCATCAACATGGGCCAACACATTAACATTAGCACAAGCTCTAATTTTAGTCACTTGGTCAGTTCCCCCGCTCCACACCCCCAGCCAGGCTTCGATTTGAATATGGCCAAAATTGATTCAATAGCAAAAGAGCACATTTTCACTATAAAATGCCAAAACTTGATTCTTCTTCTACCTTTTTTTTTGTTTTTGAAATTAGGGTTCGACTATATATGAAAAAGATAGGATGTGGGAAAAACATCTACCCAATCAACTGAAATCATAAATATGGTATTTAATTAGGTGTTCACTGGTGGGTTTTGATTGATCAAAATTCTTTTGAGATCATGTCTTTTCTACATCATAGATTTTTATTTGAAATTAAGTTTATCTTTTCCCTTTTTAGAGTGAAGAGAGATTAAGATATGAGGAAAGTACGTAATTGGTTTTACAATATACATTTGCTCAATTTAAGAAAAAAAATTATTAATCAGCTCTTGATAACTAAAGAAACTTTCATTCCTAGGGCTTCCTTAGGTTCAGTTTGGAAGTAGTACAAATATAAGTATTTAGAGTGCAAAGCTATGTATTTTGTATATATTTATATTGTACATATTTACATTTGTATTCCTTCTAAACTGAGTCTTAGCTTGTATTTGGTTGTAATACAAATAAATTTGTACTGATGCAAAAACTATGAGAGTGCAAATGATTTAAGTGTAAATTCTGATCTATTTTTGTTTCAAATCTTAACTTATTTTATTTGATTACAGTACAAATAAAGTAAAATCCCAAATAAAATTAAACAAGAATTTAATTTTTTTTAAGCATCCAATCAAATATTAAGTTTTATAAACTATAACTTGATTTCGTGATACTGAAATTCTAACTCAACCAAAAAAAAACTTAAGATCGTGATAACATATTTTACTATATCTCTGTATTTCATCAAGGAACTGAAATGAAATCTACTTTATACTTGAGAAAATATGAAGATTTCTTTGTGATAATATCTTGAGACTAATGAAACCACCAAATATCAACTCTCAAGTTTCTAACCAATTTATTTTTGAACAGGATTCCGTGGAAAGATCCATTGGTTGTTCTGTGTCATGGTATGTGATTCGACTATTAATGATACGGATCTATTCTACAATAATTGCGATTGCGAAGATAGATCTCTCTCTTTCCCCCTTGAATCTTGATCAATGCTTTCCCCTTTATTGAACTCTGGGAGAAGGAAGGTTTTGAAACCTTTGGCTATTCAGCAGCAAACCCAGATTTGGTTAATGGTAAAAATAAAACTCGAATGAATAAGGCTGTCATTCCCTGCAGCTGCATGGCATCAAGCTACTGTGAACTTGTAAGGATAGTGGGCCCATCTTACATAATGGATAGAAATCAATAAAGGATTATGTGGGCCACCTACCTTACAAGCTCACGTGACCACACAGGAAAAGAAAAGTTATAATGAAGTAGCCAACCACCCACCTAGCAGTAGCAGTAGTACCAGTGAAGTGGTGACATCAAGCTTCTATTAACAATGACTATAATGCATTGGTTATGGTCCATAGGCTCTGTTGGCCCATCCCAGTTATAGGAGGCCCATGAACTGAAGATTTGATTTGGATTGAGGTATTAAAGGGAAAGTGCACATGTTCTAAAATTCTACATAGAGTAGTACTTCCGACTTCCGACTTCCGACTTCCGAATTGGGATGCAGGCTACCCCGAGACCGAGAGTTTCCTGATCGGGTCAAGCAAGGAGCTTCCCTACATGAGATTAGGATCCCACCACTTTGGTGACAAGGAGGGATATGGCCGATATGATCCAACCATTCATCACTCATCAGATAAGGGATCCACTGGGTGGGCCATGTACAACCCTGCACTGAAGTCAACTGGCACGAGGCAAAGGATCATCATAACTCTGTTATCTTTCACTTTTATATATATATATATATATATATATATATATATATATATATATTCGGGTCCACAACCTCATGTTAGTCAATAGTCATACAGCAAATTTACATTCATGAATTGATGCTTTTTTTTTGCTACCAAATTTGACATTCATGATTCATTGATTCACGTTTTTCTGGTTCTGGGAAATGGACCTTTAATCCACTCCCAGTAGTGCATATATAATATTAATTGTTAATCCAAAAAAAAAAAAAACAAAACAAAAGTAACCAAGTTTCTTATTTTTCATGAACATTTGCTTGCATTCCTCGTATATACTAAGGTTTAAAATATTGATACATATTGGCCTGTATCATTTCAGGACCCTTTTGATATATTCTTATAGTGAGTGTATCGAGGGTCTGACCGGTTTAGGGGGTGAAAGAGCCCTAAACCAGTCCTTCTGAATTGATTCAGAAAAAAAAAAAAAGTAAAAAAATACAATATCAATTCACCCAATACACCCCTATCGGTGTATCGATATTTTAAACCTCGATACATACTACAACATCTGCATGCAGTCGGAATTTTATCTTGAAGGGCTTTAATGGTTACCTACTCTTGAATCTCCTTCAATCAATGTATCGGAGTTGATTTTGTTATTCTGTGAGCTTCCAAGCCAAGGCAGCCGCTCATCTCAGCTACAGATATGAACGAATTAATACCTGCACTACGTACCCATAGAAGTTTTTAACCCTCTTCCATTTTGATCATCCAAATGCACAGCTCCCATGCATCTTCTTTTCTAGAAACATCGAAATTGATTTTTATCTGATTTTCCTTTGGATCGAGGAGACCACTTCATCCATCCTTTTATTTTGTTTTTTTTTTTCTCCAACAAATTATATTCATTGACGTAGCCAGCCAGCTACTTTAATAACAATTTCAGTAGCTAGGATTATAGTTAATCTTATCATTGCAATTTTTCCATAAAGTCATGTTTGGGAGTGTTTAAAAATAAGTATTTATTTAGGTCATTAAACACTTATTGGTATTTGAGAAATAAGTCCAAAAAGAGTGCTTATTTTAACTTATTTTTTAAGCCCAAATTTTCATCTTTTTTTAAGTGCTTATTCAATTTTTTTTTCTTCCAAAATTATCCCTAGTTGAATATTAAAATGCCACTTATAAAATTATTCCTAGTTGAATTTTATAAAAGTACTTTTATGTTATGAAAGCATTTTTATGCTTTTATGAAGTGCTTTCCATAAAAGTACTTTAATAAAAATGCTTTTGTAAAAATGTTTTCATAAAAGTACTTTAATAAAAGTGTTTTTATAAAAATACTATCACAAAAAGTGTGTTCAAAAGGTATATTTTAAAAATTTAAAAGAAAGTGAAGAACAAAATAGTCAGAAATGCTTATTAGAGAAAAATATGACCAAACGCCTAATATAGGATAAGTGCTTGTATTAAAAAATAAGCACTTGAAAAAATTGGGTGCCGATTTTTAAAGAT